GATCTGAAAAAAAGAACGGAGTGTGTATGTGTCCTGTGTGGCAGGAAATATGTTTACTTGAACAATGTCTCTTCCCCTTGTCATTGGTCGCATTTTAGAGTTATATTATGACTCTAAAATTTTGAACATCATGTCACATGTTGAAGTTTTTATTTTTCACAGGTCAAATGGGAAAAATATGTTCTCTTCTTCTGGAACTTCAGTTTCTGGTCGCAAGATAAAGACTGCTGTTAGACGCAGGAAATAAATATTGGAGTGGTGTTATACACAAGTTTTAACAAAAGCTGGTGTCCTGCTTTTAGATACTGGATTGTACTACATGCTGGAGTTACCTGAAGTCAATCTGCCTAAGGACTTCTTTGATTTTGGAATTTTCCTCTTTCTTTCTTTACAAAAGCCTTGCCCTCACCTCTCGCCACGCCCTTTAAAAATAAATAATAGACTGATGACTGATTCTTCAGCGAAAATATTTTATGATACAGCAAATTATTCACTGATTTGGCTTAGGCTGGCTGAATTCAGGAATGGAGCCTGCTCAGTGAATGGCTTTGTATAGAACCTCTTCATCTGCACCATTATGTGCGTTGATATGCGTTTATGGAACGCATTGATATTGTAATTATATCTGAGGAATTCTGTATAGATTAGAGGATGTTGAAATGAATGATTTCTATGCTGAGTTTGTGCTGGTGTATGTGTGAAGTGAGTGAGTTGGGTGTTATTGTGTACTAAAATTTTCTGATAGAGGAAGCCTGATTAAAGAATGGTCCATACTAAGGACTTGTTAGATCTAGTTCCTTCTCCACTTAATAATTATATGCTATTTCTATATTTTCATTCTTCTATCACCTGTCTTGCCTTTTCCATTATTTTATTATGAAACTTGTGTAAATACGATTTTGTTTCTGTACTTTCTGGCATAACATAAATCTGTGAACTTGAAATTTTAATTTTGTGTTAGAATTTTTTGTTGTTGTTTGTTTAGTCTTGTCTCAGATTTTATTATGTAAATCCCATTATTCAAAGTTGCCTAAATCCATTTGGAAATCTTAAAAAAAAAATTGGGGATTCTTAAAGTGAATTTATTGGCTTTTCTGATCCAGTTTTGTTTGGACCAAAAACCAGTATTGTACAAAGTATTAAGCATATATTTTTATATATTTACTGAAATGGACTGTGGTGACTGGATAATAAGGAAAAGTTTAATATTAAAGCCATGTTTATTACAGTATAATTAACATGTTAAACCATGGGATAAATGCCATCAATAAAAAATTGTGAAATTCTTTTTGTTCTAGTGTTAACTCTGGAAGGGAACCTTTTTATAAAGGTTAATTAATAATGGTCAGTTAGAAGATAAACTTCAGAGAATGCTTTTAAGTGATTTGGATAACTCCTAACTAAGTCATTGGGAAAGTGTCTGAACTTACAACATATTGAAGGTACCTGCTTTTTTTGTCTGGTGCTAGGAATCATGCCTACTTTGCATCTAAATTGACCTTTTTAAAAGTTGGAAATAAACACACAGTCATTTCTTTTTATACTTGTATCTTCTTTGATAGGTGACTAGACACTGGTTTTTGATGGAATTCTTGGGGATACATGGCCCCAGCAGCCCACAAAAACTTCAGTGGTCCTTTTGTGTAACTTTTAAAAAAATTACTTTAGCGATTTTTTTTTAAAAACTGGATTTCTTTTCTGTGGTCCATAAAAGAGCTAGGTGGGGAAGAGGTGGTGATGGTGGCAGACAACATTTGGTAATTTTATTCTTCAATTTGAATGCACAATTATATTGTGCTTTTATTTTGTTGAATTTGTGGTTGGAATGCAAACTCGGAACTTTAAAAACGTTTTAGGTTTTTGGTGTTATTTATAATGAAAAGATAATTTTTTTTTCATACTAAAAATATATTAGGCCATCATCAAATGCTGGTGTTGGGGTAGAAATTTCGTGTTATAATACACATTTGATATAGATCTGTGATGGTGAAGGTTAAAAGAAGTAAACTGGAAATTTGTGGTTTCACTGCTGAGAAGTTAGTGCCTAACTAAAATGCAGGTTCATGCATTCTCAGCCATTCTTTAAGCTCACATGGATGGGAATATTAGGCATTCTGCTGTGCTAGAGAGGTTTTCTTTTACTTAGTATCTTTTTTATTTTTTAAACAAGTGACTGAAAGCCATGAAGTGGTTTTGCTTAAAAATGAAATCATTGCCCTCCTCCCCCCAACTGAACTGAAGTGTACAGAGCTTGGAACTTGTTTTTTCCGTCTCAGTGGTTGAAATTCTCAGGCTGCATATGGCAATTTGAGTTCATTCATGGTAGCAGCTGTAACTTCCAACCTGTCCATATTCAAGCTCAGCAGAGGTATCTCCTTATCAGACTGGCTCAGGCTATAGAACCACTTCTGATACACTCCCTGTGGCTATGATAGCTTATATACTCCATACATAAGTAAAAATTGGGGGCTGCTTGTAGAAAGCCGGGGAGTGTAATATGACAAAACAATGTCGGCCCACTTTTCATGCTGGACCAATGAGGAATTGTGTGGTTTTTGTTGTTTGTTTTTTAAATATGTTCTTATCAATTTTGGGGGGGGGGGTGTGTGTGTGGGGGGAGGGGGCCCGGGAAGACAAACATTGATCTGCTGACTCCTACTGCGCCCTGACCTGGAATGGAACCTGCATCCTCTTAGTGCATGGGATGAAGCTCAACTGAGTCACACCAGCCAGGTTAAGGAGGAATTGTGGTTTTTTTTTAATATATTTTATTAATTTTTTTACAAAGAGTAAGGGAGAGGGATAGTTAGAAACATCAATCAGCTGCCTCCTGCACGTTCCCTACTGGGGAGGTGCCCAAAACCAAAGTAAATGCCCTTGACTGGAATCAAACCTGGGACCCCTCAGTCCACAGGCCGATGCTCTATCCACTGAGCCAAACTGGTTTCGGCAAAGAGGAATTTTTAACTGAAAACAATCTCTGAAGAGAGAAAAGCCTTATGTAGAAAGATTGAATAATCAGGTTTGTTTATATACTTTAATCAGTAGTTCTCACTGAATGTACATCAATGTAACTTGTGTCAGGTGTATATTCTAGGACTTCCTCCTCAGAGATTAATTCACTGGGTCTGGGCAGAGTCCAGAGATCTGCATCATTAAATAAGCACCTGGAGGACTTGCCACTTTAAGTACAAAGTTGTTTTGAGTAATTTATGATTTTAGGCATTAAGAAAATTCAGACAATGGGAAAATTTGTCTTTAAGCTAGCTGCTTATGTCTTTCTTTCTTCTCATCTGAGGAAATAAAAACACAGATGTGAGAAACATCGATTGGTTGCCTGTCATACGCACTCTGACCAGGGATTAAACCCGCAACCTAGGCATGTTTCCTCGCCGGGAATTGAACCTGCCACCTTTTGGTATGAGAAGATGTGCCAACTAACTGAGCCACTGGCTGCTTGTTACTTGCTAGAAATTCTCCCCTGAAATTTTGTTGATATTTGACATAAAAGTGATGGACTAATTTTAACAATTTATAATCAAGCCTTAAATTTTCTGGTTTAGCCTGGAAAGAATTTGTGTTTGCTGTAATTAGTAGTCATGCGTTACTTGACTCCAGATACATTGAACAATTTGTCATTAAGCAATTTCATCATTAAGCAAATGTAGTGAATTTATACAAATCAAGATGGTATAACCTATTTCACACCGAGGCTGTTGCTCCAAGGTTACAAACCTGATACTGTATTGAATACTGTAGGCAGTTGTAATGCATCATAATGGCTATCTCCTTACTAGGCAATGAGAATTTTTCAGCTCCATTATCTATGGGGACCACAGTTGAACATTTGGTTCATTGTTGACCAAAACATCATTAGGCAGGACATGACTCCATGTCATTTCCTGGGCCTGTTGATATATCGAGTTTGAAACTTTACAAAGGCTAGCCTGTGTTTAATGGAAATTGACAAATTTGGTATAGTAAAAATGAAGACATGGGTGTGTTGGGTCCAGCTACACGCAGCTGCAGTATGACCATGTGAGTGCCTTTATTTCCTTAGGGTCACTAGGCCTGGCCAGCAAACAGGGCTGATCTGTGGGACTATTGGGTCCCCCCACACCCCTCAGCTGGCACCCACTTTGGCCAGCCTGGCACTACCTGCTTGCTGACCCAGCCACCTGCTGTCACCCACCTTGGCTAAGGGCAGCTCCTGCATTGAGCATCTGCCCCCTGGTAGTCAGTGCATGTTAAAGCTACTGGTCATTCCGCCGTTTGGTTGATTTACATATTGGGCTTTTATTACATAGGATAATACAGGCAACTTTTTAAAAAATATATATATTTTTTTTTACTGAGGAAGTGAGAGTTAGAAACATGAGAAACATCAATCAGCTGTCTCCTGCACACCCCCTACTGGAGATATGCCCTCAACCAAGGTACATGCCCTGATGCACTGAGACAAATTGGTTAGGGCCAGGAAACTTTTAAAACTTACCTCAGAAGGCCACACTAGTTCCATGATGGGCTGGGCTCAGAACAGCACCTTGTCTACAGGACTCAGCCATAAAGCTACATTTGAGTTTATCCTTCATTATCTTTGCCCTTGAAGAACTTGTTTTGTGTTCTGTCCTCTAGATTTGTAAAGTTTAGAACAAGAAATGCTTGTGAGATCAGAACTAGGTTTAAATTGCCCAGCTGACTCGTGTGACTTGAATTTCTGGTTTCTCATGTGTATGGGTCCTTAGTATGTTGCTTGATAGTTGAAATGATTAACCACTTAAAGACAGGAAAGTTTAACATTAAGCCTAATCATTTATGGGCAACTTTTGAATGAATTGTTAAGATAATATATTCCAAAAGTGGATGATGATTTTGGAAGTCCTCTATTTCTCAAAGCATTCTAGTTAACTGTGGCCACCCTGAAGGCAGAAAGCTGTATTTGGAAGGAAGTTCTCTTTTTGCAGATTCTAAAACCTCAAAGAAACACGCAAAATACAAAATCATTGGTGACCAAGGATTTATTGAGACAAAGAATACAAATTGGTGGCATACAAATTATTAAAAATAGAATGCTGTGTTTTTTTATAGGTCAGGCCATCAGATATTATTTGTGGGTCAAGCCCTACTATAATGGCTGCAAGGATATATACAGTTTGAAATGACAGACTTCACCAGTCAAGTACTACTAGTACATGAAAAAATTTCAAATTTTGGTATGGGAGGTGGAAAATGGCAAGTAATTGAATTGATAGTTGTCAGATTTTAGGAATACTATTATTTAGAAATATTCTTCAAAATAAGAGCCTGGGATAGATGCAGAATGAAAATATTTAATGCCCCCGTTCCTCTCAAAAAGCCCTTTATTCCCAAGTAACCAATTAATTTCCAATTCCCACCTTTTTGCTGGAAATACTTATGCGTTAGTGAAACAAAAGGGAACATCTTTTAGAGTTAAAACATTTTACTATCATTTGAAACAAAAAACACTGAAGATGCACTTTTACAATTCAGACAAAGTGGCCCTCTAATATAATACATTTTCCTGCAACCCTAAATATTTGAGTAAAACTGGAAGGTAAATGTTTATGTAGAAGTAACTTGTGAACCAGTCTCACTCAAGTATCATCATCAGGTGGGCAATATTTTAAATTGTTAGCTTTATTTCTGTGGTCACAGATTAGTCTAAAAGCAAGGCTTGCCATCACTCACACATACCTACTCTAGGCCCAGGGGGGAATATTAGTGTCAGACTTCCCCAAGATGAACTAGACAAGTTACCTTTGGTAATGAGTACTGTGATTTCTTAGGGGCCTAAAGTTAACCAAAGTGTTCTATGGTTTTTAGAGGACATTCATAGAAAGTGTGTTCTCATCTTGACTCCTAATTTTTGTGTCATTTGCTTATGTTAAAAAAGTGATGAATAAATTATGTTTGTACTATGACGATAACTTTCTGCCTTTTAGGCCAGCGCTTCAGCATGAGAATTACACTTTGACACAGAAAATCAGCATTTCTATAAGATGTATACTAAATAAAGTACAGAAAAGAGGGATTCTCCACTCTTCACAATTCCAGAGAAAAAATGGCTCCTCCCTGTTGTTTTGTCACTTTTTTCAATTATTTGGGAATCAAAATCTTTTCCTAAGAGCTGAATTCATAGTTATACTTTTGTTGTTGTAAAAGACAAAATAATACTATATAGTTATATAGTATAACTTGAATCCTGAGATGGATCTAAATGAATCTACACATATGTACAATGTTTTAAGTGTAACAAATTAAACTAGACTACTTGTTTGCTCTGTTGTACTATATAAATAAAAAGAGGCTAAGTGGTAAACCATCCAATACCTGAGGAAATGATACATTGAAGGTAAATTCCAGAATTACATGACTGAAGGGCATTTCAACTTGAATTTCATACTAAGTGGTAAGTTTGTGTAACATTTCCTAATTTCTAGTCTCATAAAATTTTAGTTTTATTACTTTTTATTGTGAAGGGCCATAACTTCCCAGAGGTTACAAGTGAATGATCTGTTTAATACTATGACACACTTAACTGACAGGCTATCTGTGATGTATTTAATATAACTTATTTTGAAAAAACATGGTTATGCAGTTTTACAAAGGGTATAAGGATACTATTAAGGTTTCTATAACCATTAACTGTGAATATTTTCAGTTTTAAATATCAAAGAAAAATCCACTTTAAAAATTGATACAGTGATAGACGTGTCTTCCATTTGCTAATAAGCTTAACACCAAAAATAAAGCCTAGAATGACCCTTTAAGCAGTCTAATAATGAACTGTCCAACAGTTTAGTGTTTTGTTTTTTGAAAACTATCAGAGTTGGAGAAATGTCTAAGAAACAAAACTTTTAGTTCAGGTATATCTCAACGCAGCTAACTGGATCATCTAACAAAAGCATCCCCACATTTGAAACAACTTTGCTTCAATAGGAAAATAAAATAGCAATACACAGTGTTACTTAGCTTACCATTTCCTTCAAAACATCATCCATGGCAGGCCCAAAAAACAAGCTTTTGGCTCAGACAACCAAAGAACTTAGAATTATGTCTGGAAATGCTACTCTTCCTTGTTTTAGAATAGTCCATTATGGGAAAATTGCTAATATTTCACAGGTTACCATATTTAATCATGAAATACTCAGATTATTTAACTTGATGTTTCAAAAGTTATGGAACTATATAAAATATAAAATGAAACTAGTGTGTAGATATCCTGTGTGTAGAGAGGTTATATTCAGAACACTGAAAAGCACTAATACTTTCTTCATGCTGCACACATACTGGGAATATTGTTTTACAGTAAATATGCAACAATTTGATGGAAGTAATTCCCCTTCCTCCATATTTATAGTTTGATTTGGGGCACTGAAAATACTTGCACATGAATTTTAAGTTAAATTTACAATGACAATTTATCCCCCCTCCCCATTAAAAGCAATCACTATCTTCTCTTTAAAAAAATAAAATCGACGTTAATATAGCAATATGACAATACTTTTTCATCATCATGCAAAACTTTGCCCCAAAATACATGTTGAAGTATTAACAATAGTTGTAAAGTTACATCATTCCCACAGTAAACTGCAGTGCAGATTTTAAAACTTTAGGTAAGGGAACTGCTGGGCCTGCCTCACATGCCCCTTTCTCTTGTAGCTAACTCACCACCTCCTGGGATGGAGATAAGTGGATTATCAATTTGTGTCCCCACTCCCCCAAAAAAGCAAAGAACAATTTCCCCAAGAAGTGTTAACTAAAAGATGAATAATGTGTTTATAAAACACAACTGTACATTTTCCATCATTTTGGGATAAACCAAAATAAATTTTTAAAGTTTCATTTCAGGATTTCAAAGCTGAAAATGCTTTCAGCAAATTCTAATGCCTTAGAACTTAGTATATTTTGTCCATTGTTGATTATGAAACCACTTGCCTTCTTTTTTATCTAAAATTTAAACTCTTGAATTTAAACAGGTTTTTCTTCTGGAAAAGTTCTTTGGCATTCAAGTAAAATCAACACTTTCAGAATGGTCACCTGTATCTCACTGGAGTGACTGCTTTAATTTCTAAATCATCAGTTAATGTAACCCAGGGATACCGATGGCCTTGATACATAATTTAGTCTTGTCATCATTCCAGAAAGTATGGAATTCAGGGCTTTTGGGGGCATCATCTGACCCCATTTCTTTTTACCACAATGGTTCCTGCTACAATGTCATAGGCTGTTCGATTATGCTGAAAAAACAGCAGTGTGATGAAAGCAGGGAAAAAAGAAGCAATAGAAAAATTCTTGATCAATGCTCGTATAGTGGACCTAAAAATAAAAAAGCAAAAAATAGCAGATAAATTGTATACATACCACATATAGATATCTTACTATCAAGTTCAAAGTATGTATTTAAAACATTCATAGTTGAAATTTTACCTTTGATATCTGTTATTTTCAAGTATCCTATCAAACCGTCTCAGCTAGTTCTAAAGACTTCATCAACATAAGAGACTAGAATGTTCACATGAAAAGCAGTAATGTCTTACAATGTGAACTAAAGTTTACAGTATTTTCTAGTATTTTGCCAGAAGAAAACTATTTCCTTTCCTTGCCTTTTCTATAGTCACTCATTCCTGTGTTTCTGTATCTTCTAAACTGAGTGTGCTTATTGCAGTCTCATTTTCTACCTTTTATGAAGCACTAACATTTTAAATTACTGTGTATTCTTTTATCAGCTCTTTTCTTTGTGGGATCCTGTGATTTAAAAAAGCTTTAAAAGGCTTTCAACAATAGTTTAGAATGGAGACTTATCCTACTAATGTTAGGTTTCTGCCTCAAAGACTACAGAAAAGTACAGTGGCTAAGAGTGGGCTCTGGATCCAGACTAGCAATCAGATCCACTTTCTAGCAATCACAAGTTGTATTCCACATCTGTAAAAGGGGTAAGGGTACATATAGTACCTATCTTGTAAGATTGTTAGAATTTAATTAGTTAAAACATATGCACTGTTTTTAAGTTTATGCTCAATAAACATTAGCCATTATTGATACTCATTAATAGGATTATTATAAACACAAAATTGTAAGGAAATTCTGAGTACGTCAGCAAAAGTAGTCTTGTTCATATTTCTTTTTATTAACAATCCAGCTCTAATTATTCTGGCAGCAGTTCCCACTAGTATCTTGTTTTGCTCAAATGATTACCACCTACTCACCTCCACAACTTCCATTATCACTATTTGTACCTTTCCCCAGAGGCAGATGCTAACAGCCTCTTGGGAGTATTATAAGCAGGATGCATGTTTCCAAAACTCTTACTGCCTATTCTAATGGGATGATGACAGGTATTACCAAATCAGTAATTGACACATTTATTAACTAGGCACGGAGCACTGTGTAGATAGCATCAACACCCAAATCATTCTTTCATTAGTATAACTTCAATTTCATTAAATGATTCTCCTGAAAATATATACTGAAGAAGGGTCTACAATCATATAACTGAAAAATACTCAAAATCTGCTTTAAACTTAATAAACGTAAGCCCATTTATTAAAGTACTAGAGGCCCAGTGCATTGGGGGGGGGGGGGGGGGGAGAGGAAGAAGGAGGTCCCTCAGCCCAGCTTGCATCCTCTCTAATCTGGGACCCCTTGAAGGATGTCCAACTGCCCATTTAAGCCCAATCCTATTGGGGGCATCATCCTATTGGGATCAGGCCTAAACCGGCAGTCGGACATCCTCTCACAATCTAGGACTGCTGGGTCCCAACTGCTCGCCTGCCTTCCTGATTGCTGCTAACTGCTTCTGCCTGCCAGCCCTAACCACTACCCTGCCAGCCTGACTGCCCCTAACTGCCCTCCCCTGAAGGCCTGGTCACCCCCAACTGCCCTCCCCTGCAGGCCTGGTGTCCTCCAACTGCTCTCCCCTGCAGGCTTGATTGCCCCCAACTGCTCTCTGTTGCAGGTCTGGTCCCTCCCAATTTCCCTCCCCTGCTGGCCATCTTGTGTCCACATGGGGGTAGCCATCTTGTGTTGGAGTGGTGGTCAATTTGCATATTACTCTTGATAGGATGCCTAAGTATTTAGATTAAGATAAGAAAAGAACTTACGTTGTAATGCTAACATTTGAGGAAGGAATCACTAAAACCCGACTTGGTGCAATAAGCACTGACGTGTCACATGTCACAACTCGAAGCCCCAGCAGAAACTTCCCTGGGGTAGCTCCGCCTGCTCCCCAAATGCAAATTATCTAAGGAAAGAAGGATAATTTAAAAATAATTTACTAGCTCAACCATACCAATTTTAATTTTTTTCAAACTGATTTTAGAGCAAGAAGAGGGGAGGGAGAGAAATACTGATTTGTTGTACCACTTAGTCATGCATTCATTGGTTGTTTCTTGTATATGCCCTGTCTGGGGATTGAACTCACACCCTTGGCAAACTGGGAGGACCCCCTAACCAACTGAGCTACCTGGCTAGAGCTCAACCACACCAATTTTAAAGTTAAGTTTTCCTGCCATATTATTCATGTTTTAAACATTTCAAGTTGGAGGAATTTCACAAAATAGTGAAAGGTTAACCTTTTAATGTGTATTACTGATGATTATTAGAGATCATTTTCAATATTACCAATTGTTTCTGTAATATTTCTCTAAGATCCAGTTGTTTCTATGGAAAAATACATCTCAATTTCCACAACCAATTTATAAATACATTTTCGGACCATGAGACTAAAATATATTACAACAAAATTATAAAATGTCTCCACTCAGAAAGTTTTAAAAATTAAATTATTGCCGAAATCGGTTTGGTTCAGTGGATAGAGCATTGATTGGCCTGCGAATTGAAGGGTCCCAGGTTGGATTCCAGTCAAAGGCATGTGCCTTGGCTGTGGGCACATACCCAGTGCGGGGTGTGCAGGAGGCAGCTGATGGGTGTTTCTATCTCATCGATGTTTCTGGCTTTCTATCCCTCCCACTTCCTCTCTGTAAAAAAATCAATAAAATATATATATATTTTTAAATTAAATTATTTTTAATCCTCACTCAAGGATATGTTTTACTGATTTTGGAGAGGGAGGGGAAGAGAGATGAAAGAGAAAAAGAGAGAGAGATGGTTGCCTCCGGTAACGCATCCAACTAGGGACTTGAACCCACAACCTAGGTATGTGCCCTAACCAGGAATCAAACTGGCAACCTTTCAGTGCATGGAATGATGCTCCAACCAACTGAGCCACACTGGTGGCCAGGCCAGAAGGGTTTTGTTTTTTTTTTAACTTGAGAAGTTTTATATGAAAGAAAATTTGAAAAAATAAACATTTGACAAATACATGATTAACTAAATTTCCATTGATTTTCTGTCTTGGGGTGATAAACTAAAATTAGACAGTTAAATATTAATATTTGCTGAAGTCAGTAGCTTACCTCGTAGAAACAAACTAGTAATCTGTATATAAGAGCCACAATCATCATTTTCTGCAAATCTTCCATTGATGTGTCTTCATCTATTTCTTCTATTATATAATGCATAGCAAACTTAGAGATATCCCTACACAAAATAATAGTGTTGGGTTATAAAGAATTACAGAGCAGTTGCTTTGATTTTTTTCCCATTAGTGTTAGTCACAACTTTATTTCAAATTCTAAGCTAATATTTAGGTATTTCACAAAACATTAGCTTATTCAACAAATAGGCAGCACTATCATGAGCAGGCACTGTACTACCCTGGTGAGTGAATTCAACATGGCCTCTGCTTTCATGGGATTCTAACCAAGCAGGGAGGGCAGGGCATAAGGGATAATAAAGTGAGATGAAGAGTCATGATAGGAAACTACAGTGTACTATGGGAACACATACCACGCACATGTAACTTGTGAAGCTTACCAGAAGTGACCTTTAAGCTGAGATCTGAAGGATGAAGAGAAGTTAGCCAGACTAATAGGGGAGAAGTTTCAGAGAGAGAGACTAACAAGGGAGAAAAACTTGAAGAGAATGATGGAAGCTATAAGCAGTTTGATATGACTCAAATCTTAAGTGTGAGTGATAACAATGATTAAGAAATAAGGGCATCTTAAAGTTAAACCATATGGGGGAAAAAACTTTACCTGATGGCAATGAGGAACCACTGAAGGAAGGATTTTAAGGCAGGAAAGGAGCAGAATCAATTTAGGATCTCTCTGGTTTTATATCAGACTGGATTAAGATAAAATAGGAGACAAGACTGAGATACCTGTTAGAAAACTTTAGCCATAATCCAGGCAAGGCATGACAGTAACTGGACTAGGGAAAAGCAATGATGATAAAAAATGGTTTGGGTTGAAGGCTATTCAAGAGATTCAACAGAAAGGAGTTGATACTTGGGATATGTAGAGCGTAGAAGAGGAAGAGACAGAAAGGAACCACAGTAACATTCAGGTTCCTGGAAAGAGCCCTGAAATTTGACAAGGATTTGTTTATTGATTCTGTCACTTATTATTACCTTTGTAACTTAGTAAATTCTGGGCTTAACTTCTTGTAAATCCAAATTTCAATCTCTATAAAATGGAGGTATTAACCACTGTGGTTCATACTGGAGGTAAGATTAAGAAAGAATCCATATAAAGAGGTGAGCTCAAAAGAAAGCTGTTCTTTGGGAAGGGGGAGGTGAGAAGACACTGAGGTCAGAACAGCGTTTAGAGCATTAAAGGGGGTGAGAATGCTGGCCTTGGGATCTAAAGGCTCAGTGACTAGGCCCTTCGTCTAGTCAGAGAGGGGCTTTGCGAGAAGGCTAAAGTTGAGAACCTAGAAGCAAAAGTACCCAGCAAGCCCAATAAAGGGGCTTGTCTAGAGGGGACATTCATAGAGGAAATAAGGCGTTTACAGTCTAAGGCTCTGAAGAAAAGAGGTGAATTCAGTTCCTACTATGTAGAGAGTACTTAGTGAGTAATAATTACTATGAATTTTAATATGAAGGGAGGATTATTCAAACAAATGGCTTACTTTGCAGTTCACTTGGGGATAATATAAGCAATCTCATTTGGAAATGCCATCTAGCTGATTATTAATAGTTCATCTACCAAAACCTCTTTATGCATAGTAAGAGGGAAATGAGTTCTACCTAAGGAAATAGCTGAATAAAATCAAGCCAGGCTTGGGGCTCCTTTCACCTACTTTTGATAGTGAGATTCCCACAGATCTGGCAGAATTTATTAAGTGCTATTCTCTTTTTTGTAGTTATTTCTCATAACTAACAAGAAAAAATTCTCACAAAACTCCTATAAAGAAATCATGACACTGGTAAACCAATTATCCATACAGTCACATGCAGGCATAAAAAGATCTTAAAAAAATGAGATCTCTAGACAGTAGGTTTTAATAAACCTTTCTGCAAATAGTCTTAACTTACTTTATTCCACTGAGGTGCATAATGCTTAAGACAATAGTTGCTTTTATAAAGAAGAGAATGAAGAAATCCACCATCTCTGCCATAAATCTGTGGGCCAAGGATGGAATAACATACTCTCTGCCTGTTTAAAAAAAAAAAAAAGTTAGGAAAACTAATAATTTCACAGGACTTGGGCCCCAACCTGGTTAAACAACTGGGGAATGTAAAGTCAGGATACAACTTACTAATAAAAAAAAACCAAAAAACTTGCAACAAGCACTAGCATTAGCTCCACTGAAAGTACATTTTATTAAAATACAGCAACACTGTATTTAAAAGTTTGCTTTCCCCTCTGTTTAAAAAGTGATTTCACACATAAATTTAATTACTTAAGGTACTCCATGAGAATTACTTAAGGGACTCAAATGAGAATCCAGGCGATCACAAGCCTATGACACAAAACTAAATATTTTTAGTAAAAACCAGTGTTATGTATAGACAATTAACACAAAGTAAATTGATGCCTCTTATTCATTTAGCCTTGCTTTCTATGGAATAAATCAGTCATACTAAATTCTGAATGGGACCAAATTCAGGAGAACTTATATATCTGTAGCTGAATAAAGTAAACAGAAACTAAATGACAAACTGAAAAGTATTGACTAATGCAAAATATTCTAATTCCCATACAGACGTAAACAGACAACATAAAGACCACTCAGCTAGGTTCATAACTCCATTTGCATCTACATAAATCTTTTATATCCACCAGTTCCACCGTACCTAATATAAAGGTAATATAGAATTGCTATTTCTGTATTACATACTCTATAATAAATCCACGTCTTGTTATTCCCAGCATTGCTATCAACTCCCTAACCCCCTCCCCACCTCCCCACCCCCACGCAGGTTTGCCATCTGAGCATTCAGATTTGGATCATCTCATTCTCCAGAGCGTGGAAACCGAGAGGACAGAGTGAGGAGCAGAAATGCCTTTACACGGGTGAGGTCTCAGGAGTAAGGGAATCCATTCGGAATGCCAGGTCCAAAGGAGAAGAGACGGTGCCGCCCTCCGTGCACCGTGGGCACCTCAGGCCCCGGGCAAGCGGCAGCCGCGCCAGTGGAGGGGCAGTTTTGCGTGGGAAACCGACCCCGCCCGCCTCCGGCAGCGCCCCGCAGCCCGCCCCGCCGCTCGCTGGGCTCTGCTCACCTGCTGCCTGGCGCCCGGTCTCGCTGGAGGTCCGAGAAGGGGCGGCGGAGCCCACCCTCGTTCCGGAGGCGGCCCGCACGGCGGCCCCCTGGCCGTGAGGAGCCCGGGCTCCGGGGCCGGGGCCCGGGGCGGAGGAGACGCCGCCGGGAGCCGCCCCCGGGCCGGGCTCCGCGCCCGCGGCGCCCAGGAAGTAGAAGGGGCTGTAGTAGCCCGGCGGCGGCGCCCCGGCCGCAGGGGCCGCGCCCCCCGCGGGGGGGCCGGGCGCCGGCAGCGGCGGGCTGCAGTAGGCGGGCAGCGCGGCCAGGCAGCTGTGCCAGGTGAGGTAGCCGCAGTAGGACTGCCACAGCCACTCGTGCACCTGCCGGGAGTACTCGCGGGCGCTCAGCCGCGCCGGCTTCTCCCGCGGCGCCGCGGCCTCGGGCGCCCCGCAGCCCGCGGGCTCCCGCAGCCCCGCACCGCCGGGCTCGGGCGCCGCCGCCTCCTCCTCCTCGCGCCTCCCGGGCCCGCGCGGCGGCGGCTCCGTCTCCCCGGCGGCCGCCGCAGGGGGCGGGAGGTCCGCGGCGGGAGGCCGGCCCGGGGCCTGGGGCTCGGCTTGCGGCCCGTCCCGGGGGCGCGGGGCGGGGGCGGCGGCGGCGGCAGGAGGGCCTCGCAGGGAAGGGACGGGCTCGAGGTCGCCTCCGCCGTCGCCCTGTCCCGGGGGGCGGCCTCGCGGCTGCTCCGGCCCCTCGGCCATCGTCTCGGCAGCCCCCGCCGCTGCCTGCTCGCTGCGCCTCTACCTTGTCTACTGGCCCCTCCCCAACCGCCCCGTCGCCACCGCAGCAGCCGAGGGCGTCAACAATCCGCCGCCGGAAGCGGAAACCCCGCCCGCCAGCTGCAGCGGGGCCGCCCAAGGGGGCGGGGCGGGGCCGGCGTGGGAGGGCGCGGGCGGCGGGGCTGCGGGCCCGATCGCAGGCCGGGGTCTAGAGGCCGTTCTGCTGGGAGTCCTCAGGGTATAGGTTTGGAGCTCCCTCAATCCCCACCGCTAAGGCTCTAAGGAAGCCTGAGGCCGAGGCCGCTGCAGCTGGTCCAGGAGAGGTGGACCCGGCCGCCCGGGAGGGATGCGGATGCCGGAAGAGGGTTTCCTAGAGAGCGCCGGGGGCGGCGTCGCCTTTTCTGTCACTGAGCCCCGATGGTCTTACTCTCCCGGAGCTGCGCTTAGTGCTTATGTCCGCTGGTATTCCTTCCAAATAGTCCCCGGCCATGTGTATGCCAGGAGGTGCGAGACGTAGCCCTTAAGAAGGAATTAATAACCAAGTGAAACGGACATTTGTCAAGTTAGTTTGGCTCAGCTGCAGAGATGTTCATTGTAAGAGAAGAGGGATGATGCTGATGTAAGAGCTAGACAGTCATTCTGGAGCTAACCTTTTAAAATCTTACTTTGCACTGCTGTGGACAGAAGCCTCACTGCTCCGGCAAAACTGCCTTTCCTCACATCCAGTGTCGTGTCCCCCCTCCCCACCCCCCGCCTTTGGTGCCTTTCCCTTTATTTTATGTGAAGGCAAGACCTAACGTATCTCAGGACTTTGGAGCCTCCTCTGAGTGTATTTATGTTTTAATACACTTTCCTATGTCCTTAAGTTGATTAAGTGATAGCCATATGTTAAGGTGACCAGATTTTAACATTGGTAAAGCGGGACACCATTGCCGGGGGGGCGGGATTTGGTCTATATGGAGCAACAAAAATTTTCATAGAAGGCAAAAATAGTATTGTAATATATTTTTTAAAATTTAAACATAAGTACAATTTACAAATAAATAAAAATTATGTATAGTCGTTAAATGTCACTTTCAAGGCCTACGCTAGATTTTTTGCCGCCACTATAAAATATAAATAATACGAGTACTGTCTGCTAAATTCAAGAAAGTTTATGTATTTATGAAGTAAATAAATACATAAATTACATACCTAAATTATCTGAATAGCTGATTTGTAATGACATCACTTGTTTAACTAGCTTATTAGCATGCAGTACGATGTGTATCGTCTGAGAGACAGTTACAAAATGTTTTCGTCGTTGCCAATCCCAAAAAATGCCATTGTTCATTAAGTCCAAACAATGGTGGTCAAATTCTAACAACTGATCAACAATGGGAACTTTGATAAGCAGTTCTCAATAATCAGCTCTCAACAATTATTTATTATTAAAGTTTAACATTATAAAATTAACAAAAATAATATAAAACTCTTATCCTGGCTAAATAGCCACATGGCTACCGAAAACCGTATATTCCCTTCCTGTTCCCCTGTTTTTCCCTATCTTATCGTGCAGTCTTTCCAAAAATTGACTTTTTGAAACGCTGAGGGACGAGGGACAAATTGTTAAAAATCGGGACTGTCCCGCCAAAAGGGGGACGTCTGGTCACCTTATGTAACTAGATATAAGCCCTATTACCAATAAAGGAAAAAGAAGAGATGCTCATCGACAAATTATGCTTTTAAATCACTCATACATACAAGGGAGCATTTCCTTGTGTAGTAGCCAAAAAATAAAGCTAAAGATTTATTAGAAAGAAAAAAAAGACTTACTAGAAGGTCAAGTTAAAAAATGAAGTAAATGTACAATGAATTTTAAGTTATTAGTTTATGTATACCAGTATCAGCTTTTTATAATAAAATAACCAATGCTAAAAAATTTAAAAAATGATTTAGCACAAATTAAATCAAAGCTTTGGTATCCATTTCTTATTTAAATGTGAAGATACTGCCGAAACCGGTGTGGCTCAGTGGATAGAGCGTCAGCCTGCAGACTGAAAGATCCCAGGTTTGATTCCAGTCACATCCCCTGTAAGAGGTGTGCAAGAGAAAGCTGATAGATGCATCAATGTTTCTAACTCTCTATCCCTCTCTCTTCCTCTCTGTAAAAAATCAATAAAATATATTTTAAAAAATAAAATAAATGTGAAGATACTAAGTCAGATTATAGAATATTTGGAGATTAATGCTCACAGTTATGGATAAATACATACTACTTGAATAGAAATACCATTCATTCTCATTTAGCAAATAATTTGGTACTTACTTCAAGACAAAGTGAAAATGGCAGTCCCTGCTCTCAAGGAATCCCAATCTAATGGGGACTGATAAACTGCTGACTAAAATACAATGTGATAAAATTCAAATAAATAAATGTCTGCATCTAATTCAAAAGTGTGGGAGAAAATTTAATGTTATGCCTTTTCGTCTATATATATTTTTAATATGTTTTTTGTTAGTTTCAAAGATAGGAAGGAAGAGAGAGAGAGAGAGAGAGAGAGAGAGAGAGCAACATCAATGATGAGACTCATTGATTGGTTGCCGACTGCACTCCTTCCCCTCCCCCCCCCCCCCCCCTCCTTGAAATTCCTGGCCTGTGCCCTGACTGGGAATCAAACCATGACCTCCTGGATCATAGGCCACATTCAACACAGAGCCACACCAGCTGGGCTATTTCTTTTTTTCTTTTCTTTCCTTTCCTTTCCTTACCTACCTTCCTTCCTTTCCTTCCTTCCTTCCTTCCTTCCTTCCTTCCTTCCTTCCTTCCTTCCTTCCTTCTTTCTTTCTTTCTTTCTTCTTTCTTTCCTTTTAATATATATTGATTTCAGAGAGGAAGGGACAGGGAGTGATATATAGAAACATCAATGATGAGAGAGAATCATTGATTGGCTGCCTCCTGCATGCCCCACACTGGGGATGGAGCCCACAACCTGAGCACGTGCCCTGACGGGGATTCAAACTGTCACCTCCTGGTTCATAGGTCCCCGCTCAACCACTGAACCATGCTGGCCACCCTGGACTACTTCTTTTTAATTATTGAGGGTATTGCAGATGTCCCCCATCTCCCCCCCTTTATCCCTTTCGCCCAGCCCCTACCCCACCCCAGGCCTTCACCACACTATTGTCTGTCTCCATGGGTTATGCATATAAATATTTAAGTTCTTTGGTTTATCTTTTCTCACCACCCCCCTACCTCAAGATTTGTCAGTCTGAGAGAAACAGAACACTTCTGAAGGTCAGGTTCAACCCACAAACCCCAGCTCTACCAATTTCCTGGTTTTTAGGATTCAGGATGTACAGTACTTAATTCTTAAGTTCCCCTAAATAAGCACAGGGCCTAGTATAAAAAAAGCCCTTGATACAATTTTGATACATTTTTTAAGATTAACAGGTGATATTTATTTGGTACTCATTGTGCACCAAGCACTTAACATTTATTATCTCATATCATCTTCACAGCTTATGAAATAGGTAGACTTACTGAAGATTACTGAGCTAAGAAGCCAGGGAGGTAGATCTGTCTGATTTCAAACTCAGGTCTGACTTCAGTTTTCATAGAAAGATAGAATCTCCCACTTGGGAGCCAGTAGGGAATAGTGATTATCATATTCCTTAGATTCCTTAGGTTAGTCATTTTCTATTTGACATCTTGGGAAATTACCTATCTCTAAACCTCCACATGTCACTCTGTAAAATAGGGTTTAAAAGGTGCTGTAAGGGTAAAATAAGATAAATAGGCACAGAGGAGCTCATCAACAAACAGTAACTATTCTTATTCCTATTATCCCAGTATTTTCCCCCTTATGATTATTAAATCAGCTACCTATACCCACTGTAGCTCCTTGCTCCACAACAGGTATATTTTGGTGGAATATCTTGTTACTAGAGAAAAGACACTTCAGGTATCAGATGGCTGCCTTCCGAGCCTGCAGTACATTTGATAAAAATGGAAATGATCAAAACAAACAACGGTGCTCAGGGCAAGGGGCAAATTGTTCCCCTGACAGGCTGGTTCTTAGGAAAAGAGGTTCTTATTTTAGGTCTAAAACTTAATCACCACTGGAGACTTGTGTTTCAAATACCCTAAGGTTAGAGCCAAACTGGCTAGGGCAATATGAAAGATTTTAATAAGTCAAACCTAAACAGTGCTCCTGAGACATAAAATTGTAAAGATATCAGCTTTCTAAGTTAGTTTATGATCAAGTCAATGACAATATTTTTACAGACTTTTAAAAAATAACTCAAAATAATTCTAAAGCTCATTTGGAAAAAATTAAGGGGTACTAGATTATACTTTTTATTCACTTATTTTTTAAAAAATATATTTTATTGATCTTGTACAGAGGAAGAGAGATAGAAACATCGATGAGAGAGAGTCATCGATCAGCTGCCTCTTGCACACCCCCTACTGGGCACATGCCCTTGACCGGAATCGAACCCGGGACCCTTCAGTCCCCAAGCTGACGCTCTATCCATTGAGCCAAACCGGTTTTGACAGACTAGAAGAAATTTAATTTGGTGATATGGGGGGCCAGGTGGGAGCCCACCTCTAGTGGGAGAACTGCCGCTAGGCTCTGGCCTTGCTAACCCTTTTTTGAGACTATGGGATACACCCATTACTCTTAAGCAGGTTTGGGATACACCCATAGCCCTTAGGCAGGTGATAATGGATTATCATATCAGTAAGGATTTACATGATTACTTGATGGGGAAGTTGCCTGCGTTACCAGTGTCTCAATTAGACAGGGAGTGGTTGGCTGTTACCTTTCAGAGCTTCAAGGTTGACCAGCCTTTTACAACTTTCTATTAGAGACAATGATCGGTTTCCAGCAGCCTCAAAAATGATTTAAGTTGGCAGCTGGCCACATCAAATAGTCTTAGGATGGCTATAGAAAGACCAGCAATGTGATTTACCTTGGGGGCTATCGGTCATGCAGTATCAGTAGATATCTGGAAGGGCTGGAGACTAAAATCAGCCATATAAGCAGTCATGCCTAGGTAATGGAAATTCAATAAAAACTATGGACACCGCCCAGCTGACATGTCTCAGTGGCTGAGAATCTACCTATGAACCAGAAGGTCACAATTCAATTCCTGGGCAGAGCACATGCCTGAGTTGCTGGCTTGATCTCCAGTGTGGAGTGTGCAAAAGGCAGCCAATCAATGGTTCTCTCTCATCATTGATGTTTCTTTTTCTCTCTCCCTCTCCCTTCCTCTCTGAAATCAATAAAAAATATATTTAAAAGTAAATAAATAAACTTACAGAAGAATAAGGACATTATTCTTACCTACTCCTACGTAACATTTCATAATGTAGTCTACTATAAGTCCATATTCAAATTTATTCAAATGTCCCACGAATATCTTTTATCATTTTTACCAGCTGAACCAGAATCTAATCAAGCTATTTACTCATTGCATTTGGTCTCTTTTGTATTTATTCTATTACTTGTTTTTTTTTGTTTTGCTTTTTTTTTTTTAAATAACACTGATATTTCAAATTCTAGGCCAATTGTCCTGTAGAATGTTTCACATTCTAGATTTTTCTGATTGTTTCCTGTGCTGTTATCTCCTGAATTTCTTGAGAACTGGAAATTAGAGCTGTCTAGATTAGGTAATGGAAGCACCTAATGCCAGATTGTCCCTCTATAAGAAATATCAAAGTGGTGACAGCAAGATCTCTTCTTTTGCAGTTACCAAGTAATCTGGAGGCCTAATCTTTTAAACTATCTATACTCGTGGTCAGCAAATTTCTGCTCTCGAAGTCACATGTGGCTCTTTGGCCCCTAGAGTGTGGCTCTTCCACAAAACACCACGGCCTGGGCAGGTCTGTTTTGAAGAATGGCATAAGAAAAAGTTTAAGATAAAAAAATTTGGCTCTCACTGAAACTGGTTTGGTTCCATGGATAGAGCGTCAGCCTGGGGAATGAAAGGTCTTAGGTTCGATTCCGGTCAAGGGCATGTACCTTGGTTGCAGGCACATCCCCAGTAGGGGTTGTACAAAAGGCGGCTGATCCATGATTCTCTCTTCGATGTTTCTGACTCTCTATCCTCTCTGTAAAAAAATCAATTAAAATGTTAAAAAAAAAATGAGTCATTCCAGATCTGAAGATAGAATTAATATGATGATCCTAGAATATCTTGTTATAAATGAAGGCATGGAAGTTATCAAAGACTATTGGGGTTGGGTCAAAAGAACTCAGAAGTCAACAAGCAGAGATTTTTAGCAAGTGGGACCATTTGTTCATCAATCAGCTAAAAACGTCAATGAATTAAAGCACATAAAGTATGTTTAAATTCACGAGTTTATAATTATACTCTGGAAAAAAAATTAAGTCACTTCTGAAGAATGCTAGGAAATGAGCTAATTATTTTAAAAACTATAATCATTAAATAGAAAAAATCAGGTATTCTCTTTGTTGTCTGCCCTAAATAGTAATCAAATAGTCGATGAAGGAAAACTTCTTTACAGAAATATTCCAGCTCATAAATGGAAAAAGAATGATAGGATATCACCAATTTGTAATTCCTAATAATTTATGAGTGTAGCAATGATCACAAATGGCTGCTAACCTCATAAGAAAGACCACCAGACTTTGAATCTTTCATAGAAATACCACCATCTCTCAAGTTTCTTTATCCTTCCCCACCTCAAAAACAAAGCAAAACAAAATTCTGAATCTGATCAAGTCTCTAGATCTAATGGAGAAAATTACAAGAAATGGAAGAGAAGGAACAACATCACAAAAATAAAATCAAGGCTATGAAAAATTCTACAAGGCAACTGATCTAATTTCTTCAGTAAATTATTGCATGAAAAAATTAGAGGGAACCTATAAGCAAAGATATCTAAGAGACATATCAACCAATCACAATAGATAAAACTTATTTGGATCTCAATTCAAATTAAGCCAACTATATTTATTCAAAAAGCAAAACCAAGAACACATAAAATATAAAAATGTTGAGAGAGGGAAATGCCAACACTGATTGGATATGTGATGTTAAGGAATTATTTTTAAATTTAGGTGTGATAATAGTACTGTGTGGTTTTTTTTTAAGTTTTTATTTTTTAGACACATGGAATATGAAATGATGTTTGAGATTTGTTTCAAAATAATCCTACGGAGAGTAGGAGAGGGTAAGATGGACAAGATTGGCTCACAGTTGAAAATTGTTAAAACTGGTAATAAATTCATTCAGGTTTTTCTATTCTCTCTACTTTAGAATATGTTTGAAATTTTCATAAAGTATTCTGCAAATTTTGAAGATTTCAGAAAAGTAAAAAAATATGTAAATTATCCATAAACCCACCCTGCAGATAATCACTATCATTTTACACTAAATCTGTCTAGCCTTTTAAATACGTAATAAAAATCCTGCAGTGGATATTGTTTTATATCTGCTTTTTTCACTTAAAACGTATATTTTTTCCTTGTCATTAAAAATTCTAAAATATTATTGTAATAGTTGCATTAGTATTTCAGTTCCTAACATTTATTTAATCAAAACTCTATTTTTGCTACTAAAAATTTTGCTACTATAAACATCCTTCAAAATATTTTGGGGTATTATTCATTTTTTAAAAGTAGAGTTAGTCATTAAAATAATATATTTTCAAAATATAAATATTTTATTATATACTGCCAAACTGCTAGAAAGGTTATATTCATTTATGTTCCCACTAGTAGTGAGATAAGATTCCCCTTTTCCCAAAACCTTACTCTGACTCTTTGGAAGCATTTAATTTTCCCCATTTAATAAAGAATATAAAGTTTTAAAAAAATTGATGTGTGGTGCAATCACAGACCTACTAGTATATCTGAATCCTGTTAGCTATGTGACATTGTGAGTTACTTAACATCTCTGGATCTGGAAAAAAAAACAATATACATGGGTCTAAGACCGAACCTTAAGAAAAACAAACAGATAAGGAGTTAATAAGGCTGTGGAATTAAAGAATAAGAGAGAATGGGCAGGCACGCAAAAGCCCATTGTGGCTTCTGGTTATCTCAGAGGGAGGCTTAAGAAACTTGAGTAGCCCTAACTGACTTGGCTCAGTGGATAAGAGCATTGGCCTGCAGAGTGCAGGGTTCCAGGTTCAATTCTGGTCAAAGAGCATGTAATTTGGTTGTGGGCACATCCAGGGGCAGTGCTGGAGGCAGTTAATGTTTCTAACTCTATCCCTCTCCCTTCCTCTCTGTAAAAAAATATTTTTTTTAAAAGAATCTTGGAGCAGACATTTGTTTTTAATAACAGTTTTATTGAGATAGAATTCACATACTATAAAATCCATTTTAATACGTACAATTCAATGGTTTTTATTATATTCAGTGTTGTATAAAATATAACAATAACCACTATCTAATTTTAGGATTTTTTCTTTTTCTTTTTGAAAAAGACATGCTCAGCGCTAGCTGGTTTGGCTCAATGGATAGAGCCTGGATCTGCAGATTGAAAGGTCTAAGGTTTGGTTCTACCTCACTTGCTGGCTCCTACCCAGCCTGGCCCTGGTGTGGAGGCAACCAATTGATGTGTTTCTCTCACATGGATATTTCTGTGTTTCCCTCCCTCTTCCACTCTCTAAAATCCAATGGGAAAAATATCCTCGGGTGAGGATTAAAAAGAGGAGAAGGAGAAAGGGAGGGAGGGGAAAAAAAGGGAAGAAAAAACAAAATAACAACACAAGAAAGTGGGTAATCTAATCTGACCAAGTTGACCAAGTTAAGTCTTCACATGGGGCCTGAATGCTCCTGAGCATCTCCAGGAAGGCCTGTGGGGAAGGTGCGTCCACATTCTTGAAGGTGTCCAGGATTCTGCTGTACAGGGACAAGAGTCTCCGCTCCACACACAGGAACCCGAAGTGGTTCTCATCGAACAGGATGAAGATTCCAGGGAAGCGCTGGGGGGTGATGGAGCCATAGAAGTGGACAATGTTCACGCCGTAGAAACACATCCTGTAGGTTCGGGGGCAGTTCCCGTCTACGGAGTACTCACCCTCAGGCAGAACAAAGCTGTGGGCAGGCTGCTCCTCCAGAGCTGCAGCCCTGGCCTCCCTGACGCCGGGCTGGGGAAGGCCCTGCCAGCCCTGGCCCTCTTCCTCCTGCTGCTCCTGGATCACCTGCTCGTCCATCTCCTGGACGGTGTGGGAGAGCGCCTCGAAGTCGCGGAGGAGAATCTTCACGTCTGGCAGCTGGATGCGGTGCAGGAGGTGGATCTCTAACGTCTCCTTCCAGGCAGAGAAGATGGGGTCTCCCCCGATCTTCGTGGCCCTGGCGTACTTCCCATGGAAGCTGAGCACGGCCACCTTTAGGCTGAAGGCGTGGTAGGAGCCTTTGAAGAAGCCTGGCCGGATGAGGTCGCCGGGTTGGCTGGGCGGGAGGTAGACGCGGCGGTAGGTCAGGCAGTCGGAATCACGGAATCGTAACAACCGGGAGTCCAGCAGCATCTGACGGCTTTGGAACCACGCGGACATCCTGTGGTTACACCTGATGGTGAACTCATCCTTCTGAATCGTCAGGTGGCATTGGTGGGACCCCTCGGTGTAGTGGAGGCAGTTGCGGGGCCTGCTGTAGTCCTCCAAGCACTCCACCGTGGCTGACTTCCTCTCCGTCAGGTGAATCCTAAACGAGGGCTTCCATTGCATCGGGACATCCACATCGGGGTAATTGGGAGGAGGCAGGTACTTCCAACCAGTGATGCCTACGCCGTCCACCGCCACCTTCAGCAGTTCTCTACGGGCCTCCGTATCGAGCCGCCACAATCCCAAAATGTTTCTGTACGGGTGGAGCAGCTTCGTATAGAATTCTCGGCAAGACAAACCCATCGCCTGCAGGTCCTGAAAGTTCCCACAAGCGCCGTACTCCTCCCGGCAGCGCCGTCTCCAGATGCTGTCGGTGCGCAGGATGCTGCGGAACTGGGCGCAGGCCTGGGCCAGGCTGGGCAGGTCGATGACAGGGAGCAAGGCGAAGATCGCCTCCAGCAGCTCCAGAGGCAGGTCCTGCAGCGAGCAGCGCGGGGGCGGCGAGGGCGGCCCGGGGCTCGTGCTCTCTCCGCCCCCCGCGCAGCACAGCGGGGCCGCGGCCGGCTCCACGTGCTCCTCCGCCCGGTCGGGGGCCGGGACCGGGGTCAGGACCGGGGGCTGCATGCTGTGGGCCGCTACCGTCTCACCTGGACCCTGGCGTGGCTGACACCGGCATCCCCACGAAGAGCACGCGCCGCAGAGGAAAGCGCTCCGCTCCATCCCGTCGTGTAATGGAGTAACAGCCAAGGGTATCCCGGTGTCCTGAACCGCAGCAGCCTGGCTTTAAACTGGCCCGTCCCGCCCAAGGGTCCAGCCACGCCCCCCAGGGCCTGGCCACGCCCCCTCAGAAAGGAGCCCATAGTAGGACTTTAACGACACTTCCCAAAGAAACCCACACCCTGGAACAGTCGCCTCCCTCTTCCAAGTGCCCCCTCCCTGTCCTCCCACCCTACCCCCAGGCAGTCACTAATCTGTAAGGATATATCAATACCTCCAGGGGTATGCTTATAGGGACATTTCACATAAATGCAGTCCTAATATCTGGTCTCTTTTTTAAAAATATGTTTTATTGATTTTTTTTACAGAGAGGAAAAAAGAGGGATAGAGAGCCAGAAACATTCATGAGAGAGAAACATCGACCAGCTGCCTCCCGCACTCCCCACATCGGGGATGTGCCCCCAACCAAGGTACATGCCCTTGGCCGGAATCGAACCTGGGACCCACGCTCTACCCACTGAGCCAAACCAGTTTCAGCTTTTGTGACCTGCTTTTTTCACTTAGCATAACATTTTCAAGTTTTATGTATGTTATAGCCTCGTGTATGGGCATACCACAATTTATTTACCCATTCACCAGTTGCTGAATTTTGGGTTGTTTCCAGTTTGAGGCTCTTATGAATAACACTGCTATGAACATTGTGTACACGTTTTTGTGTGAACATGCTTCCATTTCTTTTGGGTATGTACCTAGAGTGGAACTTCTGGGTCATACGATAACTCTATGCTTAAGATATGGAGGAACTGCCAAAAACGTCTTCCAACGTGGCCCCATTATTTTACATTTCCACCAGCAATGTACGAGGGAGCCAATTTTTAAACATTCTCATGAATGCTTTTTACAAATATATATTATAGCCATCCTTGTGAGTGTTGAGTGGTATTTTATTGTAATTTAGAGCAGAGTTCTTGACTATAGGTTAAGTGACCAGACGTCCGCTTTTGGCAGGGAAGTCCTAATTTCTAACAATTTGTCCCGCATCCCGCGGCATTTTAAAAAAGTCCCGATTTTTGGAAAGATTCTTTAAAATGCTGCGGGATGCGGGGCAAATTGTTAAAAATTGGGACTGTGGCGGGACATCTGGTCACCTTACCATACGTATATGTGTTGGTGGTGAGAACAGCGCCGGGTGTTAGACTGGTGGAGTCAGACCAGACCTTGTTTTAGCAACCTCCTACTTGAGTTCTGGCTAATTCAGAGCCAAGACTTAAACTATGAGAGAAAGTTTATTTAGAAAATCACAGAAGTGCAAGTGAGCTGTAGAAGAAATGTGCTCAGGAAACAATTTACAGGGGCAAGAGATGGGCCCTGGGAACTTAGGAGAGAGAAAGGTAAAGGTAAAGAGCCGAGGGGAAGAAGAGGGAGAGGGGAAAGTGTGGGAATGCTTCCGAAAGGAGAGCACAGCTGGGTCCTCCTCTGTCTTAAGGGCTTTTTTCTTCTTTTTTGGGGGGTTAATCCTCACATCTGAAGCCCTATTTAATTCATAATATCAGTATACTATGAATCCAAAATAAGGGGAAGGTCATGGTAGCATATAGCTAGAAAGGTTACATATACACATTTGGTTTTTAAATAAACAGGAAGTGTAATGTTTAAGTAAACAAGCATTCCAAGTTTGCATGGTGGAGGCAGAAGAAGCAGGAACAAAACACACAAAAAAATGGCTGACACCGGTTTGGCTCAGTGGATAGAGCATCGGCCTGTGGATTGAAAGGTCCCAGGTTTGATTCTGGTCCAGGGCATGTACCTTGGTTGCAGGCACATCCCCAGTAGGGGGTGTGCAAGAGGCAGCTGATCAATGATTTTCTCTCATTGATGTTTCTAACTCTATCTCTCTCCCTTCCTTTCTGTAAAAAATCAATAAAATATATTTTTAAAAAATGAAGATGACATGAAATAAGTGAACTATTGTGCTTATTGGACACATGGGCTTTGTTTTGAACTCCACGGATTCTATAGTAGCTGGCACAGTGCCACTCACAAAGTAGACATTTAATCAGGACTATTGGTTATAATTGTCAGAGTCCAATTGCAACTGTTTTGATGAAGAAAATAATAAATGAATTTATTGACTTGCATAACTAAAAAGTAGAATCAAATAATAACTTCAGGGATCACTTCTTTTTTTCTTTCTCTGACTTTGCCTTTGAGAAAAGTAAGTTTTAGTGCTAAAAAAACCTAATTTTAACTCTCTTATGCAACCAACAAATTAAAAGTTTATACATTGAAAAGGCATTTCAAAAGAGAGAAAAGAGAAAACGTTCAAAGAAATGTTGACTAATAATTTTCTAGAATTGAAGAAAGATGACTTTTTAGATGGAAGAAACACAAGTGTTGAGAACATAACATACAATGTGATGAATATAAGCAAAGAGGAAAAAAATGACAATGCTAAGAGCAGCAGATAAAATATAACCTACCTACAAAGAAGTAACATTTGGATTGGAAGCCAAATCTTAAAAATAAAATTATATGTGCAAAATATATATTATTGAGGAGAAAATACTGATAATCTAGAATGTTATAACCAATTAAATGAGATTTGCAATAATACAACACTGCAAATTTAAACAACATCCTGATCAACCCTAGCTCCTTCCCATCATACTCAGCTAAGGATTAAAAGCTCAGGGATGTAGAAAGAGAGTATTCCTGAGTCAAAATGTAAATGGATTCTGTAAATATGGCTATCCATGAGTTTTGAATCTCCACATAAACACAGAGTATACAGTGAAACAAAAAATGCATGGGACAATATTTTCAACAAAACTAGATGACAGATAATGGCACAAACACAAAATACAAGAAGGTGGGGTCAAACTACAAATGCAAAACGTGCACTATGTCAATACTGAAAAAGTCCTATTAAAACTGTTAATATTTTATTTTTAATATATTTTATTGATTTTTTACAGAGAGGAAGGGAGAGAGATAGAGAGCTAGAAACGTCGATGAGAGAAACATCGACCAGCTGCCTCCTGCACACCCCCTATTGGGGATGTGCCCGCAACCAAGGTACATGCCCTTGACCAGAATCGAACCTGGGACCTTTCAGTCCGCAGACCAACTCTCTACCACTGAGCCAAACCAACTTTGGCAAAACTGTTAAGATTTTAAGAAAATTATACAGGATATGACAGAAAAAAAAAAAAGAAAAAATTCAGGGGAGACAAAATGGCAGCAGAACAGACAGATGTATCCCGAGCTTTGTCCCAGATAGAAAGAACAGCTGAAACAAATAACATCCAACCTGAATTGGCAAAGGAGACTCAGCAGCCCAGGGTACTGCAAACACATGAGCATCCCACTCCTGGCCAAAGAGCAGCAGCCCCGCGAGCAGCCTGCCCTAGGCCTAAGAGCAGCAGCCTCATGTGGCCTGGCCCTGTCCAAAGAGCAGCAGCTGTATAAGTGGCCCACTCCCCTGCCCGAGGAGCAGCAACGATGCGAGCAGCCCACGCCATCTGAGGAGCAGCAGCTGCGCACAGCCTGTACCCTGCACCTGTCTGAGGAGCAGCAGCTGCATAAGTAGCCTGCCCCCATGCAAGGAGCAGCAGCGGTGTGAGCAGCCTGCACCCATTCGAGGAGCAGCAGCCATCTGAGCAGACTGTCCACGTCCAAGGAGCAGCAGGCACACACAGCCTGCACCAGTCTGATGAGCAGCAGCTGGCTGAGTGGCCTGCCTCCAGCCGAGGAGCAGCAGCCGCATGTGCAGCTCACTCCCGCCCGAGAAGCAGCAGCCATGCAAGCTGCCCATCCCCTGTCCAAGGAGTAGCAGCTAGATGAGGAGCCTGGCCCTGTATGAGGAACAGCAGCGCTGCAAGAAATCCACCCCCATTCGAGGAGCAGAAGCTGCCGGAGAAGCCCGCTCCTGTCCGAGGATCAGCAGCCACATGAGCAGACTGCCCACATCCGAGGAGCGGCAGTCCTGCGCTGCCCGCACTGGTCTGAGAGCAGCAGCCACATGCAACCTGCACCTGACTGATGAGCATCAGCTGAGTGAGCGGCCTGCCCCCTCCTGAGGAGTAGCAGCCGCACGTGCAGCTCATTCACACTTAAGGAGCAACAACAGCCAAGCAAAGAGCTTGTCTCCTGTCTGAGGAGCAGCAGCTGCCCGAAGAGCCTGCACCCGTACAAAGAGCACCAGCCCAGCAAACAACCTGCTCCTGTCCAAGAAGTGGCAGCCTCATAAGCAGCCCTCCCCATCTGAGGAACAGCATCAGCATGCAACCAGCCCTGATCTGTGGAGTAGAAGCCACATGAGCAGTCCGCCCCTGTTTGAGGAGCAGCAGCCATGTGAGCAGCCCACCTCCCATAAAAGGAACAGCAGCTGTGTGAGCAGCCTTTCCCACCAGCCAGAGGAGACACCACTCCTGCAAACAGCACCCCCTGGATGAGCTGCTTCCAACTGAGAAGCAGCCACTTCAGTGACCGCCTGAAGAGCAACTGCAGCCCGAAGAGCAGCTGCCACCCAAGGAGCGGCCCCTGCACAACTCTACATCTAGATCAGTCAGTGAGATGAATAATGGGTAGACAAAGAAACCCCAAAAGGAAAGAAAAGGAGGAATCACCAGAAAAGAAGCTAAGTGAAACAAAGGCAAGCGATATGTCAGAAAAAGAATTCAGAATAAGGGTCATACAGTTCATAAACCGGATGGAGGAAAAATTCAACAACTATGTAAGAATCAAGAAGAAATGGATGAAAAAATCAATAACTTATGTAAGAGTCAAGAAGAAATGAAGAGTGATATAGCTGCAATAAAAATCACCATGAAAAGTCTCAACAGTAGACTAGGAGAAACAGAGGACCAAATTAGCAAATTAGAAGACAGGGAAGCAAAACACATCCAAACTGAACTGAAATTAGACAAAAAAGCTAAATGACATGAGGAGAGCCTAGGGAACTAGGGGACAACATGAAATGAAGTAACATATGAATAATAGGG